GTACGGACGATGAATACATTCCGTACCCGCGCTTATCGTGAGCGCTGGAAGCCGCGCGCTTCAGGATGTCCCTTGGCAGCATGCGCTTGCTGACCAAGTGAGCAAACCTCACACGAAGATCCCACTGGTCCAGGATGCGGGACAGCAGCTGATCTTCATGGAGTTCCCGTAACTCCGTGGGTGAGTACTTAAGAGACTCCACCCATGCCCAGAACATGTCCTCACAAGAACTCCACGTGGGGCAGCTCTCGGGCATAACCCAGGGGTATCCCCAAAGAGGATAGGGCGGCTGGCACCGATTGCCTTGACTCGCCAGTCGATCCAGGGCTCGTGCTTCTCAAGCCAGGGCATGCCCAGGATCATATCATATGGATCCATATCGAGAACAGTAAACTGTTCGAGGCTGTCAAAGTCTTCAAAATTGACGGCCAGATCCACTTGGACGTTGGGGACAGTGACGACCTTCTCGTCGGCCAGGCGCATTGACACCGTCCCCGTTGGCCTTGCGTTCTCTCAAAGCATCGGACAACTTGTCGCTGGTACGAGCAACCGTCTGACGGCGTGCGAAATGCTTCGACGCCCCAGAATCGATCAAGATTCTAAAGGGATGATCGTATCCCCGTACACATCCGTGTACTACGAGCAACCCTCCGCTGCTCTTCGCCGATTCGAGAGTGCGAAGACTCTCAGGGGCTAATCCCCGTGGTACGCGCCACCCGCGCACCCATCACGAAGACTTAGCTCTTCCCCCGTAGGGCGCTCCGCCCCTACTGGTTCCCTGCAATCCCCTGTCCCCGGGATCCTGGCTTCTGCCAGCGACCCTTGAGGACGGGCTTGGGGAAGGACCGTCTGCGGAGTCTTTCCGCGGGACAGTCGCGCTTGAAGGGGCCCATCTTCCCGCAGCCGAAGCAGCGGATGTCACGCTGCTCGGCGGACCCGTGTTCCATGTGGACTGGTCCATTGGGGCTTGTTCGACCGGGAGCCGACAAGGAACTCCCAGGCCACGCTGAGGCCGGCGTACGCGCCTGGCGATGGCTGTACTCTTCTTGAAGAGCCACTTTAATCGCCTCTTCAAGGGTGCTTAACTGTACCCGGAACAGCTGAGTGCGTGCGGGGCCCACTCGAAGGCCGTCCATGAACACAGTCATCTTGATGTGTTCGTTGAGTAGGTTTCCCACTAGGGTCGCCGTGAGCTCTCGTATCTCTTGCACGTACTCGTGCAGCTCGCGCCTCCCTTGTTTACACGAGAGGAAGCGCGAACGCTGGCGGTACTCGTAGTTCGCCGGGAGGAACTCGGCTCGGAGCTGCTCACACAGCTGAGCCCAGGATGTGAAACATTCAGGGGATGTTGCTTCCCGTGTGTACACCCAACTCTTAGCGCGGCCGCTAAGGTTGGAGAGTGCAAAAGCAACACGACGTTGCTCGGTCGAGATCAGAGCCGCGTCCATCGCGAGCTCTACTTCCTGGACCCAGAAGTGAAGGTTCTCGCCTTCCTTCCCCTCGTACGGCTTAACCTTCAGCCGTATTGGCTTCGTGTGAGGCGGATTTGCTATCGCCGCCGGAGCCTGCAGATACTCCCGCACATGCGCGATGAGGCCCTGCTCGTACGCGTCGAACGCATTGAGGCGCTCGAGCTGCTCGGCCGGTGTTGACACCACCAGGCTCTGCAGGGCCTCCATCTTGAAGATGCCTGCCATCTTCCGAACCGACTCGAACTGAGAGTCGTTCATATGGAAGAAGTCGTTCCTGTCCATGGCAACGTACTTCGGAGAGGTTCAGGTAGTCTACCTGCGGTGGCGTGGATTGAGTACGAGTGCTACTAAGTGTGACGGGGTCGCACAGCACCTTGCGCTAGAAGAAGTTATCTTCCGAGAATATACAAACTCTCAGTGAACGGCAGTTCACAGGTCCCCTTTTTATTTAAAGAGGGCGAAGTGACCAAATAAGGTAGATTGTAAACTGAGTATATTTATAGGTAGGTTAAGTTTGGGTTTAATACAAACTATAAGTTACCTATAGAAATGCAATGTCGTTTGACCAATGGTTGGCTTTATACGACCTTGGTACCTTGTATTAAATATCCCCGTAGTATGACGTGTCATACGCCTGAAGTGTGAAGTGTCACACTTCAGGTAACCAGGATACACTTAGGGCTACGTACCCCGTTACAGAGGTCGAGGTAAAGCTTGAGGCCTCGCTTCGCTCGGTAGGTTGGTCCCAATTAATTAGGCCGTTATCATCGATTTGTTGATGCACACCTCGTAACGCACATCAGGGGCTTATGGTAACCAAATATCATATGATATTTTTGAAACTAATAGTACTATTGCCGCTTTTAAGATATAAATAGTAGCGCATTTTAAAAAAAGTTAACAAAAAAATCTCATATTAACTCGGAGTTTCGAAAAATATTAGATGCAAGATGATACTTATCTGATATTTTCCACTTAAGTACGTTTCTTGCAACCCTGAAAGAATTCTAAGACTGACGCTCTAGTATTTCACTATGACACAGACAAAGGCGATCGAGATGGAAAACTGCAAACGCTTGCAGTTTAATGTCGATAGAGCGAAATCAAGGTATTTGTTCTTGTTCTCTACCGATAGCCTCGTCCACATCGTGCGTTTAATAAACCTGCAGCCTGTAACGCTAGATTATTGCGCTCAGCAGTGCCAACACACGACGCCGTCACTCTCACAATTGCCACACTTATTCACATGGTGCCCACATAGATTTAAAAATGGCGATGCTTTCGAGCCGAAAGTTTCAACCGAGCTGCACGACCTTGTTTTTTTTAGAGTACATGTACGGTACTCTATACTCGTACCATGTAGTACATCATCGCTGTCTCTAAGGGGTGTTAGGGGACTCTAGATATCATTTATGCAGTGCGTGAGCGGACGATATAACCCAATCCATTACTTCCGTCCACTAGCGTACGCCAAGAGAAAGAACGCGCGAAGTTACTAAGTCCTAATGTGAATTCTCGGACATTGTCCCCAATCGTCACTTTAGACAATGCTTCACCATAGCGGGTGTAGTTATCTAAATCCAGTAGTTTTAGGAGTTCTGAAACGTAAACCGCAACCCATACTTTGTATGATCAAGTAGGGACCACCAGATTATTAAAATCCAGAAGTGCGCAAGTTCCACAAAAAAAGCGCAGCACTGTCTCTCTATCTCTTCTTTCTCTTCTATACTCTACCCCCCCTCTCTTTAAATATTTTAGATTTTAATGTAAAGGAACTCGAAACCCGAACACTAACAGAAGATGTCAATGTAACCACAGCTCTTCTAGTTATTAAAATTTAGTTTCGAAAATTTTGGAAGCAGAGTTCCCACAATTTGCCAATTAGTTGCAATTCACTATAGAATTGAAGCGCTATAGTAAGTACGACATCATTTTGGGACCGGTTCGGAACTCAACATAAACCTCAGCTGAGGTTGAAGCGCATCAGTAAGCGACAATCGCACGAGATAGCAACACTTAGCTTAATTATTTTTAATTCTGATAAATATGCTCATCAATATAAAGAAGCTATAAAATTTGGAATCCAATTTGAGAAATAAATGATTGGCCGAGTCTACAGAATCATTCATCTTAAAAGTGAATCGGTTCTACTATCAACAAGTTATCATGGCGTTGGCAAGGACATGAAAATAACTTTCGACGCCGGGTTGAAGGCAAGCATACACATATGTCAATCTTTCCATACTTTCGAGCATATGGAACTGATAAATTCAAGATTACCTTTGTAAAATAGTATGAGGTTGTCAACCAACAGCATCTTCAAGCTTATGAACAGCTCTGGATTGCAAAGTTTAGAAAATCAGCAGTGAATAAGAATAATTAATTTACGATAAATCATCTGCGTAAGATGGATTATCGAGAAAACAATAAAAAAAAAGCATTAGAGCCTATATCAAGCAATATTATAAAGCCAATAAGCAAACGATGGGAAGCAACTTCTAAGGAGCGGCTGGCAACTCGATCCAATTGCGAGTGTGGTGGTAAGTATTCTGCTGCAAATCGCCATGTTCACGTTCGATCGCTAAAACACAAGTGGTGGCTAGAAGAACAGAGTGCTTCGACTATGATATTTTTTTGTGACCCTGGTGTCGTGTAGGCTACACTGAAGCTGCTAACACTGTAGTATGATAACGAAGTATCATTGATGACTTACTCATTAAATTTACAACGTCCTACTAACAACTTCGAGTCGTCTAAAAGGTCTCGTACTTCTGTCTTCCTGTGTCAACATAACTAAAGCTGCAGAGTCCTCAATGAACTGCCTTCTATCTTATTGAAAGCTTCTGGTATCAATGTTTCTACTTACTTCTAGCCTGCAGTGCTACTCATGAGTGGGAAGATGATCTGCAAGACACAAGCCAGCTACCAAGTGGCGTCGAGGACGTCCCCGCTACATGAATTCGGGCTGGGTCCGACGTATGGCTTGCAACTGACCCTACATTGTAGGACAAGGGAACTTGTCCTTCATTGTGACAGAGCGTTTGCAAGACCATGGAAATTTTCGTAGCTGAAGATGACACATTCGTGTCGCTTGAGGAGGCGCTGGCCTTCATCGACGGCTGCGACATCAACGACCAGAGCTTAACGGACACATTGGTTCAGTGCTCACCCGTTGATCTATTCAGTCAAATCACCCCATTGGAGCTGATCGCTCCCAGAGCGCCAGTCAATACACGGAAGCGTGCCAAGCCGCAGCGGAAGCTGTCCGCGTCTTCCTCGAGTCAGGACGATAAACCGACCAAGAAGCGGCGAGCTAGAAGTGCCGGGAGCTCTTCTACTCGACTACAACAACGTAAGCGTGCCGAGATTCAAGCTCTACGAGAACAGGCGCAAGAACTCGAGACGCAAGTGGAACTACTCAAGCAGAACAAATTCCTGTCTGGAGACGTCGTTCTAGAATTAGATGACGCGTCCATGAGCGACGGTGCGTTAGTGAGTCAAGAGAAGTCGCCTTCCAACTGGCATGAGATGGCTATTGCGCAGTATCGAGAACGTCTCGTGTCAGAGAAAGACGAACCGCCGACTCAAGTCCATCCTAGCCAACCAGGAGAAAGTGAATGGCGCTCTCCAAGGACTTTTACAGAAGCGCTCAGTGCTCAGTGGTATGGACTACGTGTTCGCAGCTCAGTTGGAGATGGAGACAGCGTTTCTGTCTCCGACCGATGCGACGCCATCGCAAGTGAACAAGAAGGTTCAAGCTCAGATGGAGGACGTCGTTCGACGCATGCACAAGGCGGCCAAAGCTCACTTCAAGGAGCACACGGTCGCGCCCGCTATTAGCTGCGATATGCGCATCAAACAAGACCCACGACGCGGCAAGATGATCGAGTTCGTCACCTCAACGCCCATGTCTTGTTCGCTGGAAGACGACTCGGAGATCGTGTGGAAGGAGCTGTCGACGTACCGTGAATACCCGGACAAACTCTACAGATGCGTAAGTTTTATAATTTAGAATCTGATACGGTATCGGATAAAAAGTTCGTCATGAGTCTCAAAAGTCCCTCGGGAATGCTCGAGCTGGACGGCGTCCAGTACTTGGAGAAGTTCGAGGAAATGGACCGGACTATCGTAGCTGTTGCCGAGCGCATGGTGTTGCCCTCCAAGAGCTTACAGTATTGGAACGAGAGCTGGCTGACAATTACACCGGCAGCCTCTGACGCGGGTGTGGCTGTCGTCGAGATCTTTCTCCAACTCTACTTGGAGCGAGACGACGGACTGGTGGCGTGTCCAGAGGACCTCGCGTATGCACAGGACGTCGTCATGGGCTGTTTGGGCAACACGTTGCGCAAGTTCTTCCAGACGCAGCAAAATAGTCTCATGGAGAAGGCTGGACGTGTCATCGTCGCCTCAACGCTGAGCGATTCTGTAGCTAGATACACAACGTAATTAAGCATGTCATGACTGCACTCTTGTACAAGGTAGACGCGATGAAGAAGGGTATACGCAGTAGAGCTCAGCTGGCACTGTAAGACTGCAGTGTTTGCTCTTTTGAACTGTCAAATGCATGCACTGTAATTGTAATATTCATGATATCAGACGATATTCGGATTGCCCCGCATTAGTCTCTTCCAGCAGCTGAAGTGGCGGGAGGGGGGGGGCTAACTCTTAAATTTGGGACTATCAACTCGTTCATCCAGATAAAGTGAATCAAACACGTAGCGAGTGTGTGGTCGTGGACCATTTGTTTACCGCAACACCCCTGTCATTGCCGACATGGGGGATTGTGGTGATAGTAAGTATGTGTAATGGGGTAAGGGAATCTTACTACGATTTAGATGCGACCACACAAAGCTTTATCTAGTCCTCATCTTCATCGCGCGTAAGGTCCTGCTCTTCTCGCACCACCCCCAATTTCTTCAGCTCCTTGACCAGAGCAGGAATCTCATCATTAGCTTCATCACCTTCGTCTTCATGTACCCGTGTATCACCAAGAATACCAACTCGAGCAAACCCCCCTACAATGATAGATGCCGTCAAGCTGTTCCAGCTTGTACAGACCCACGACACAATATCATTTCTATCAGGAGGAGTAACCCGAAAGACAGAACTCGGTGCCTCCCGCTGAATGTCTGCGACGCGTTCTCGAGCTACGTCTTGCATCTCCAATCGAAACGCAGTATTAGTACGGGCCGTGATCCCAAGACGCTGCGCTGCCCGACTCACTTCAAGAGCGTGATGATCTGCGACTTGCTGTCGTAGTCGGTCGACCCAAAACTTGCGCAATTTACTCTTGAACGGGTGATTCCACGCTACGTCTGCTGGCTGGCAGACGTAAGTGTATCGTGGTGGTACTTTATGCAGCACAATGTTGATAGATGCTGCATACTCTACGACTTCTGGGGTCCAGTGCCCCGAGAAGTCATCCCAGAGTAGCAGCATCTTGTCTTCTATGTTGGGGCGGTTTGCGAAGTGATACTCCAAGAAACGGAGAGAGATTTGCGAATTCCACCATGCAGTTGAATTGCCATAGATCTGGCACTGATGCTGCGTCTGAAGAGCATCCATTTTGGGCCACAAAACTGGCCCAAAGCCGTGCTGGTTCATCTCGTTGCTGCGTTGTCTGCACTTATCTTTTGCATCCTTCGCTTTGAAGATGATTATTGGGGGGTATTTGTTGCCGTGCCAGTCTGCCAGTAGCATAACTGTCGTTCTCTCCTTATCCTTGCCAGCACATTTAATCCAGATCGTTTTCTCTCCTTTTGCATTGATCGTTTTTGTAGGCAAGTACTCGTAGAACACCGCTGTCTGATCCGCATTCAGCACTGTAGTGATGTTGTGCTCGAGAATCAGCTCTTTCACCTCTTTTTTAAACTCTTCCGCCTTCAACTGTGCATCTTCGGGTGTCGTTTGACCCTGGCGGGTTTTAGCGCGAATGGAGAACCGGTTGCGCCGCCTAAAACCCCTCCGCCAAGAATGAGATGCGCTAAACAACGACGACGGAATGCCTCGGTCAGCGGCTACCTCACGGGCCTTAAAATGCAGCATCTGCTCCGAGACTGGACAACCTTCTCGCCTTAACGAGCTGATCTACATCGAGATGTACGCTTCTGCACCGTCCGGGAGAATGGTACCGTCGCCAAGTTTGCGCGCCCTTTCGTAGTAACCCTTTCCTTGTAAGCACATCAGTTCGATGAGGACCCGGGACGACTTCCAGTCCGATATAAGCTGCATCCTTTTTCTCCATTCTCCTTGGTCAGTCACAGATGGATAAAACTTCTCTATCGCTTTACCAGTGTCATGAATTACGTCCAGAAAAACAAGCACTTCCAGCTTATGCTTGTAGGTAAATGACGTGCGGCTGTAAGTTTTTGGTTTCTTACCCGTACCAGTGGTGCACTGACGCCCCATAACAGACCTGGAAATACAAGATGTTCGATGTCGACACGAAGCAGAATCACAAGTGGGTGTCAGCTCCGTTTTAGCGGTGTCGGTATAGCGTTTTAGTGCGGGCAGAAGCTCACAACATATGAACTCCATTCAGGTTTCTATTGGCTAATATGGTCTGTCGGCAATGAGAAATCGTCGGTTATGAGAGGGGTAAGGCGGTACACTGCTCACAACGACTTAAAGTCGCGGTTGCAGAATGGAATCATCATTCGACTGCAATCATCTGGTTTGTGAAAAAAAAAGTAAACGGCCTGTTCTCAGCAGCGAAAAATTTGGATGGCGATCAAGATGGGGTCAAGGCATTACTGCTCAGCTCGTCAGTTTTCCTTTGTTGAGGTATTCTCTGTTTACAGAAATGAGGATTAATGCTGCTTTTTATAAAGTTGGTAATTTTAGGCATGAAGTAAGTGCACCCTTCGTCACAATTGGTTAATTAGAAAGAGTGAGCGGATGGCCACCATACTGTAAGGCAATGACTTTGGTACATGCTCTTGTAAAGTGCGGTAGGGCAGGTCGGTTGGTTTATCCGGCTCATAGTAATTATCGGAATTAAAGTAGTTCGACCTTTTATTGCATAATCGGATAGTTTCGGTGAATAGTAGAGTACCAGCGGTTTGTCAGGCAGCGTCTTTGATTACAAAACAGTCCCAGACTTAGATCCCCTTTTGCTTCAGGATGATGATTACATCATGTCGTGGTGCGCATCATGCACAACAGTGTCCCTAATTCGTGCACTTAGCAACAGTCATTGTCAAATTGGCCACGAGAGCGACATCAAGGCTCATTACAAATTAAATTCTTAAAGTAATGCGAAAGGAGTCTACGTTTCAAAATGGATACTTTTGTGCTCTCCTTCTTGTAAGCCTTTTAATCCGTGCTGTATGTCCTACTGTAGACCTATAAAGCTGAATAATTTTAATCTCGCCTAGTTCATTGCAAATGCAGCGCCTGGTAGAAGATTCTAGACGCTCCAAGCAAGGAAAACCACTACTTACGATTGCGTCAAGTAGTTCGATATCGCTTTACATACCTCCACTGCAAGCAGCAAAGCTGGTGATCATAGCCTATGAAAAATAACAAATACACTTTGTTGGTTTAAGCCCCTATTGAACCATTAACCTGGTTGATTTCGAAAAAAACGAAAAGGTTATACCAGCGCGACACAATTTATGAAGTAACAATAATCCCCCCCAGTGTCCGTAGTTCCCCTTAAGTAAAGTTTTAATGTGAGCCGAAAAGGGAAGTGGATCCTCAAAAAACTGTCAAAGGCTTTGAAACTAGGGCGAAGCGAAGGCTGGGATAGTTAAAAAAAAAACGAAAATGTATTGTTTTTTACTTTTTTTTAAAAAAAAATGCAAAATTGTCGTGTACGAAACGCTAAGTTTAAAGCCCGGAAAGCGGTGAGAGCGTATGGGATGGCGCCAAACCACCGTACCAATTACGGAGTAGGTCGGCGCGATCGATCGCAGGTTCGTGTAGAATCTCCGATGCAGGACCAACTGAAACATACCGGAGTTTGTTGTACGTAGAAAGCGTCGCATTTCTCACAACGACGACGCTGCCTTGTAAAATGTCTCCATTGGCGAGGTGACCCCACGTCGTACAAACTATATGGTACCCGGAATCATCAACAAGGAGTAGCTCTCGCTTATCAGTCGTCTTCCCCTTCCGCGTTACAATACGCTTCACCGAGCCCAACCGATGCACAATAGCAATAGTTGTTGTTACAGACCCGTCCGCAACTGCCGCAAGGTTGGCAATTGTAGCGGTAGGTATTCGCGGGGCATCCAACAAAGGAGTTTGGGCCAGGTGAATATCCGCATTGGATCCAAAGGATATCTCAACGCAATTCTTCGCCGAAAACGCAGGTTTTATCCGGCCACCGGAGAAGAAGCAACTGTTTCCAGGAGCAATGACGTCACCATAACTTGTAATTGCCTCGTTGAACAGGGTAGCCCGGTAGACGATCTTGGGTGAGTCGGCAACGAAAACTTCAAGCAATGTACCATTATTCTGCCAGGTTTTCCATTCACACACGGGATTTCTTGCTATCACACGAATCACGTCACGGGTTAACGACTGCAGCCTCCTCTCGAATACTTGGGCAGACAACGCAGGATATAAAGATGACACCTTCAGACGTGCTCTTGCGCTGTCCGAAGGTAATCTGGTAGGTCCCGAAAGCAGCATTCTTTCTTAGTATACACACAGCTTTCATCATTCCACGCGGCGTTTTTTCGCAGCTCTGCAATTCGATGGAGTAGTAGATCGTCGTGTTCCGGAGGTGCAATCGTTACCCAATGCAAGGCAACACCGTATCGATAGCGCATGGCGCCGAGTTTAGGTCGCGTTGCTGCTCTCCCGAACGGCGAAAAAGGAACACTGCCACCAACTAGAGATAGCAGTCTCAACAGACCTGCATTTAAACGACGTGCTTCGCTTGAATCTGGATGATCCTTAGCAAATATGAGAGACTCTTTAAATCTCTGTGTGCTAATTAACTTTCCAAACTTCTCCATTGTTTTGCCGTGCGTAACTCCAACACGTGCTGCCTTCTGCACCGTCACGCGCCTCTGCATTTGATTAACCAACATCGACGTGAAAGCCACAGATCTTTCGAAACGGCCATCGCAGTAATGCATAAAGTGGTCAACAAATCGCTGCGGCAACGGACCAGGAGGAAGAGGATCTGACCCCGTAAGAAAGAAATCAGGGAAAACACTCGCTAAAAGTTTAGCGTTATCCACCCATTCCACAAACGGTGATCGACCACACTTGATAGGGATCACTGGCGCACTTAAAACATCTTCGGTCTGGTTGCCCTCGATAGCGCCGAACATAGCATGTATTATTTCGTGAACAACTCTGAATCACTTTGATCAATCTGAGGCAGAACAGCTGAAGCTCGTACAACAACCTCATCAGTCAAGCCACCGTCATCGATTTCACATCCACGGCTTTCAGATGCAATCTCTTCGTCGATGCCGCTTACAACATCG